TCATCCATGATCTTTAAGGGGACCTATTATTTCCCTTGTTACTTTTTTTAAACCTTAATATACTTCTGAAATCTCTGGATTCTCCTTAACTTATCTGCCAAGGCTATCTCATGTTCCCTTTTTGCCCTCCTGATTTCCCTCTTAAATATACTCCTACTGCCTTTATACTCTTCTCGGGATTCATTCGATCCCTACTGTCTATAGCTGACATAAGCTTCCTTCTTCTTCTTGACCAAAACCTCAATTTCTCCAGTCATTCAGCATTCCCTACTCCGGATGTTGAAGTCTTTTCCTGGAATCAAAAGAACAATTTTGTCTGAACAGTCCAATAATGGAATCGTTACCTCAGCAACCATCTGGAGATGATGTCATGTATCTCCCAGAACCTACGTTCTGCTGTGGTTTCACAAAAGCTGTGTGTCATTCTCTCGTAACAGTCAATTAATGCAGAGACTAACAATTAATTTGACAGGGGAGGATGTTGCAGCGTTGAGGGTAGAAAACTGGAAAAACGAAGCACAACGGGCAATAGACTGAAGAATTGTGCAGACAGAACCTGAGGAATGGTACAGCACAGAATTTGGCCCATCTTGCCCATCCCAACCATAAAACTTAAGTTAAAGGAAACAAGCAAAGCAGACAGATGTGCTGTTGGAATACATGTGTGATAACCTGAGGACAGAATTGAATAAGACTGATGGGCTGCAAGCACAAGCTGTCACATAGATAATGACATGAGACAAAAAAACTGCAGATGCTGAAATACAAGGTAGACAAACAGGAGGTTGGAAGAACACAGCAGGTCGGGCAGCATCTGGAGGAAAGGAGCAGTCAACGTTTCAGGTATTACCCTGCTTCAGGACTGGATGTGGAGGTAGCAGGAGCTGCAGATATAGAGTTATTTTTTTCATGATGTGGTCAAAGAGTTGAAGGGCTGAAGAGGTCACAGCAATGTGGCAGTGAGAGGGACTCACTGAGTTCATGTCTGAGTGAGGCAGAGAGCTTCTTCAAAGTAGGCATCCTTTGAAGAGACTTTGCAGTGGTAAAACTTAGTTAGAAACAAAAATAACTGCAGATGCTGGAATCCAAGGTAGACAAACAGGAGGCTGGACAAACACAGCAGGCCAGGCAGCATCTGGAGGCAAGCAGAAGTCAATGTTTTGGGTATTACCCTTCTTCAGAACTGGATTTGGGGGTAGGGGGAGCTGCAGATAAAGAGCTGTGATAAAGTGATGATGTAATGGCCATAATGTAAGTAAATGTAAGTAAGAACAGGCACTAAATATTCTTGGCTATAAAGTATTCAGGAATTACCTGGGTGACAAAGCAAATAGAAGTCAAAATAAACAGGGAAAGGCGTGTGACAACTGTCAGGTAAAGAATATAATCAAACAGCAGGTGCTATATAGAGATAACAAGGGGTAGAGCTGGATGAACACAGCAGGCCAAGCAGCATCAGAGGAGCAGGAAAGCTGACGTTTCGGGCCTAGACCCTTCTTCAGAAATGGGGGAGGGGAAGAGGGTTCTGAAATAAATAGGGAGAGAGTGGGAGGCGGATAGAAGATGGATAGAGGAGAAGATAGGTGGAGAGGAGACAGACCGGTCAAAGAGGCGGGGTTGGAGCCAGTAAAGGTGAGTGTAGGTGGGGAGGTAGGGAGGAGATAGGTCAGTCCAGGGAGGACAGACAGGTCAAGGGGGTGGGATGAGGTTAGTAGGTCGGAGATGGGGTTGATTCAATATTCACAATCTTCCTGTCACTTGCTCTGGTCGCTTGGAGAAAAAATAAAAACGAACTTGCATAAATACACAACAGATATATTGACAAGGTCTGAACATAACTGATGATGTTTAACCCTCATTTGCAACTTGGTCAGAAAATAATAAAGTATAGGTATACATGTATCCTTGATTCCATGCAAATGGTGGGTACTTTGTTCTCAACAAAAGTACTATTGTGTGTCTGCTTAATCTCCTGAACTTTTATAAGGTCTGTGCACAAACTTAAACCACTATCTCTTTAGATACAAACTCAATAGAAGCAAAAATAAATAGCAGATGAAAGCATAATTCATGTAGTTTTAACACAATATCTAAATTACTAGGCTTCAACATAACCCAACATTTTGTCATAAGTTGGTGAATCAGTTTTTCTAACTTTTTGGAAAAAATTCTCCAATTTCTGCTGAGTGATTTTATTAATATTTATTAACAATATTAACAGCAAAAAATCTTTATGAATTATGGTTTCATATTCCTTTTATTATTTGCTTCAATCACACATATATCCGGATTTAGTAAAGTTTAAAGCTGCATATGGACTTTGTTATGCAATATATTACTGTCCAGGGTGTTAATAATGTGTAAAATCTTCCATGTGTTGTCCAGTAAAGCTTGCAAGATTAGCATTTACAATAAACTATCATGCATAAAATTTGAAATTATTTGCAAAACATGTCTTTAGATGCCTGTTTTCTGAAGTGCACTTTCTAACAGTAGTTAGAAACACAGGAACAGGACTAGCCCATTCAGCATCAACAGCCTGCTCCATCATTCAACCAGGTCATGACTGATCTTCAGTCTCAGAGCCAGTTGCCTGTCCTATCCTCATACAACTTGAACATCTTTACTACATGGGGAGGCAATGGTCTAGCAATATTATTACTAGACTATTGATCCGGAAAGTCAGCTCATGATCTGGGGACCTGGGTTGAAATCTTGACATGGCAAATGGTAGAATTTGAATTCAATTTTAAAAAATCTGGAATTAATGGCCTAATGATGACTGTGAAAACCATTGTTGATTGTTGGAAAAACCCATCTGTTTCATTAATTTTCTTTAGGGACGGAAATCTGTCACCTTACCTGGTGTGCCCTACATGTGACTCTACAGCAATGTAGTTGACTCTTAACTGCCCTGTGGGTCATTAGGGATGGGTGGTAAATGTTGGCTGAGCCAGAGATGCCCTTGTCCCGTGAGTGAATAAAAAAAATCTAGAAATGTTTCACTTTCTGGATTGAACATGACAGGGCCTACACTGCCATCTGGGATATAGGATTCCAAAGTTTCACCAGCCTTTGGCTGAAGAAATTCCTTTTCATCTCGGTCCTAAGAGGCCTACCCTTTATTCTGAGACTGTTTCCCTCAGTTGTAGATTCCCTGAGACAGAGGAACATCCTTCATGCTATGGGTCAACAATGAATAGTGCCACTTGTAGAACATCTTCCGTTCAAAGTTCCGTTCTCACATTAGCCAGGAATTGTTTGATATTGTAATGGTTTGTTTAAGACACAAGCTTTTTTCTATTATTGTATAGTATGTGACACAGCAGTTTAATTCACTTGAGTTTTATTTCATGTCACCAATGTCCTGTCTCCAATGCAGGTTGCAGAAATATTTTTGAGATCAACCGGAACCTTGTTCAATTCTCCAAGCTTTAGAATGATTCTTTAGGAGAAATTAAATAGTACTACACATCTGCGTTTGGGACACCATTGCTGGAAGATCAATATATCTTGAAAGAAAAGATCATTGTGGACAAATTTGGAGTAGTTGAAAAACACTGTAACCAAGGCAAATAAACAAAACAGAATGTCGTGAATAACTTCTATTTCATAATATAAGTCTTGAAACATGCTAATTGAATGAATTAATTTTCTTCCTTTTGATATGTATAAATGTTCTTTACTTGATCAGTTTTAACTGCAGCATTGACACCGCTATTAAGCTCGCATTGATAAATGTTCTTTTGGCAAACACTTCCACTTCTCCCTTTAAAAAAAAAAAGTCCATGCAAATCTTTGGTCATCTCTCTAAACCTTGCCTTCTTTGGCATGGCATCCTTTTTTCTACTGGTACTTAATATGACTATTAAGTGCTTTGGGACTTTTTTTGTTGTCATGAGTGTTATACAAATGTGAGTTATTGTTTTTGCTGGAGCACAGCCACTGTGTGAAGCTTAGATACATTTTGTAAGTTACATTCTGCTCAAAGCCCAAAGCTTAATGATGGAACCAGGTGGTTTGTGGTGCATTTGGGAGTTGCTTCTCAATACCTTTTCAGCTTTATGACTTGAGATTGATTTCAGCCCAGCTAGGGGAAATGTAAAGTTCCTTCAGTGGAAGATTGGGTGGCAGTGTCTTTCAGAATAATATAATTTCAACTCTGGAATCCAATATTTATGTTTTAATTTGATTTCTTCAGACTTCCAAAGATTATGATTTAAAATATAAAATGGCAATTAATACACTATATTTTCAATGCCTCTTTGGAACAATCAATGAAATAATTCTTCTGATAATTGAGACTGAGATTAATATGATCAAGAGGTTCTGATAAAATCATGAACTCGAAAGGAAAAGGTTGGATGTTTAATATAATTAATGTCTCTCTAACATTTGCATTACATGCTGCAATGCACTCAAAACTGTAATCATATGCGTAAACATATTTATCAGTTGAGTTTGTAACCATAGCAGTTATCACAATCATTATGTATTTTGCCAAATAGTTTGGACTGAGTGACAAAAAGTGTGATCAGAATGAACAAATTTACTAGGAAAAGCTATCCTGCTATTCACAATGCCATATCAAATTAAACACTGTTAATACTTGTTTTTAAAACCGCAAATAATATTTGAAATTAAAACTGCTCAGACACTAATTCAGATAGATTTCCTTCCAATTGTTTTGAGTTAAATATATAAGGGTATATTGAACCTCACTATGCAATTTCAGTTAAGCTTGTGAGATTAAGGCACTTATGCAGTTAGTGGGTGTTTTAATTTGACGTTAACTTTAGCTCAGATTGTTAGATAAATTTTGTACAACTTCTCACCTGGCTGACTATAGTAATGTCAAAAATAGTTTCAAGACAAATTGCATTTCTATAGCATGGCTTAGGTAAGGAAAATGTCTCTGAGCAGTTAACTGAATAGAAGAAATGTGGTCACTGGCCAGAAAATAATAAAGGAAATTGAAGCTTGCTCTAGTGCATTTGGCAAGGTAGACACAGAGTACGTTATTAGCGAAGGTTTTTGAAACCAGGATAAGGTGACAAAGTAGAATCAGTAGGTAGTGAGTTCCTGATGGAGAGACCAATGTGGCTGAAACATTGTGCACTGAAATTACATGGAGCGGCCGAGTTACAAAGAACAGTCTGAGAGGGACTGAGGATGTATGAGCAACATAGAGCTTAAAGGGATAGATCACTGATGTACATGAAAAGCAGAGAGTTGAATGGATGGATTTTACAAACCAGATCAACAGGATAAATGGAATCAGTGAAGTGTGGGGAGGAATGAGTTTATGGGACTGCAGGATTTTGAGAAGGAAAAGGAACAGCCTCAGTTCTGTTAAATGGAAAAAGCTGGATCTAGCATTAAAGAAAGAAATTGGCATTTAGAGAAGTCCTGAATATTTTAACAAGTTATGGATGCTAAATTTCAAACATTTTACTTAAGATAAAGAATCATGTTGCTTTTTGAATTACAATTATCCATAGAGTTATTTCAATTATTTCTACATCTGGAAGTTTATTCAAGGTTATCTTCAAATTATGTTTACTGAAGCTTCAGTTGCTGGTCAGCTGAAATGAGTTGTTTGCAATGAATCTGCTTTGTCACTGCAGCAATATTTTTTTATTTTGAAATATTCTGTAATTAATCCATCCACGAAAAATCAGTTTAATGGTATTCTTGAGAAGCAAACTTGATGTATTGTAGGACAAAGGAGATAGCAAGAACTGCAGATGCTGGAGTCAGAGCCAACACAGTGTGGAGCTGGAGGAACACAGCAGGTCAGGCAGCATCAGAGGAGTAGAAAAGTCGACGTTTCTGGTCGGGACCCTTCAGAAGAGTCTGATGCTGTCTGACCTGCTATGTTGCTCCAGCTCCACGCTGTATTGGTACTGTGGGACAAGTCGCATCTGTAAAGAACATCAGCACCACTTGCTGGCAATAAAGAGTAGCGCAAAATTAAACATTCCCATAATATCGCATATATCGAGTCATTGAGTCATACAGTACGGAAACAGACCCTCGTCCACACCGACCAAGTTTCCCAAACTGAACTAGTTCCCACTTGCCTGCATTTGGCCTGGATCTCTCCAAACCTTTCCTATTCGTGTACCTATCCAAACATCTTTTAAATGTTGTAACTGTATTTCCATCTACCACTTCCTCTGACAGTTCATTTCACGTACGAACCACATGTGAAAAAGTTGGTCCTCAGATCCCTTTTAAATCTTTCTCCTCTCACCTTAAAAATATGCCCTCTAGTTTTAAATTCCCCCAATCTATGGAAAAGACCTTTGTCATTCACGTTATCTATGCTCCTTGTGATTTTATAAACCTCTATAAGGTTGCCCCTCAACTTCCAATGCTCCAGTGAAGAAAGTCCCAACCTATCCAGCCCCTCCTTATAACTTATACCTTCCAGTCACAGCATCATCCTGGTAAATCTTCTCTGAACTCTCTCCAGTTTAATAATATCCTTCTTACAGCAGTGCGACCAGAACTGCACACAGTACTCCAGATGAGGCCTCACCAACATCCTGTATAACCTCAACATAACTTCTATACTCAGTGGTCTGAACAATGAAGGCAAACGTGCTAAACATCTTCTTAACCGCCCCTTCTACCTGTGATGCAACTTTCAAAAAACTATGTACCTGCACCCATCTCAGTCTGTTGGCCCAATTGTTCAAGATCCCTTTGTCATCTTACATAACATTCTTCGCTTTCGAATATACCATCAATTTTGCTGTATTCTGCAAACATGTCTCCTAAATTCACATTCAGATCTTTATATAGATGTCAAACAGTGGGGCCAGCACAATCCCTTTGGAACACCGCTGGTCATGGGCCTCCAGTCTGAAAAACAACCCTCCTCTACCACCCTCTGTCTCCCACAGTCAAGTCAGTTTTGTAGCCCTCCCATAGAAATAAATGCAGTTTAGTTCATCAGTTACCTCATTCTATGGCTTGCTGTTGCCTCGTTTGTCTAATTGCGCTCTTCAGAACTATTCTCATCTGTCTTTCTACTTTCACTATTACTTCGGATCCTCCCACTAGTTTAAAGGCTCCCGTGTAGAATTAGCAAACCTCCCCACCAGGACATTGGTTCACCCTCCATGGATCTGCAGTTTGTTCTTGGCCTTTGGGCTCTACACGTGGGGTGGGGGTGGTGGAATTTTAAATTATTCCACTACAATAGCATGTAGTAGATTGGGTGGCATTTCTGTCGCTTTTGATGAGGTAGAAGATATCATGCATGAAAATATTTACTCTGATGCGACAGATTACATCAAATTTTCCTTCTGTTGTATTTAATAGCGCAGTAAGTGGGTAAATGCTGCAACTTCATGCCCCTTACCATGGATTTTAATAATGAGTCCATCGGTGAAGTATTATCATAATGCAGCCAGCTTCCAATTTCCATGTTTATTTGCATAGGTCCAGACTGAGGTTAGTATCCGATTTGTTCCATAATAATGATTGTTTGTCTCACTGTAATTCTTAGCTGAATACCTGGGGGGTCAATATCATAATGGCAACCATAAACCATATCCATTCGACAAATGAGGATGCAGAATGCAAACAGTTTTACAAATCAGTCCTCTAGTAGCTTTTGCAGGTTGTTCACCTAAATAGAAACTGTATCATCTCAAAGGCACTGAAACATTCCCTTTGAAGAATTAGATATTTCGATCATTTGAAATTGGTAACCACTTCCAATTGCCCTGCTGATCAGAGGTATTTTTAAATCAATCAGAGATGTTACGGCACAGCTCTGGAGCAGATGGATTTGAGTGCAAGCCTCCTGGCTCAGAGATAGTGACACTACCACCGCACTACAAGAAGCCACACTGCTGATCGTATACTCTGTGGAAAACATATTTCTTAACAGCATGGAATACAACAGCAAAGAAAGAGCCCATTCGCCTGCTTTCCCACCAATCACTGTATTTATTTTTGTCCGTCAAGTAATTGCTCAATTCCCTTTCCAAAGCTACTATTGAATCTAAACCCGTACTGCTGCATTCCCAAATCCTAACAACCTGTTGCAAAACAAATGTTTTTTTTCCTTCTGTAACATATGGTTCTTCTGTCAGTCATGTTTAAATCTATGCCTCAGGTTATTTTTATTAAATCATAGCTTCAAGTGAAATTTGCTGCTTCATTGAAGGGCAGTGAGAGTGTGGGAAATCAATCTCTCTAATTGTGTTGTTACAACAAAAACTGAAGTTTGCAAAATTAATAGTAAATATCAGAGCTCTTTTTGTGTTAAACAGTGGAAAGAAATGCTGGCTGGTTATTTATTATTCAGCCATTGAAAACACATCTGTATTTATTCTATTTAAATCTTTCATGACTTGAAATGTCTCTACTGAGACTCTTCTTGGCCTTCTCTGCTGTAAGTAGAACAAGTCCAGTTTTAACATTCTTTGCATATTAATGTAATCCCACACCCTTGAAACCATTCTAAGGAATCTTTTCTGGATGTTTCCTGAAGTCTTTGTGTCTTCCCTAAGGCCCAGTGCCCAGAATTCACCATAATTTCTTTTATTCATTCACAGGACGTTGGCATCATTATGCCCATTCCTAATTGCCCTTACACTGCCACCTTTATCCACTGCACTTTTTGTGATGTAGGTAAACCCACAGTGCTGAGAGGGAGACAGTTGCAAGATTTTGACCCAGCGATATTGAAGGAATGGCATGCTGTTCCAAGTCAGGAGTTGGAAAGCCAAATAGCAAATCAGTTCTGGCAAAAGCCAGGTCCCTTGTTCATCATGAACTGAAAACACAAGACCTGTCATCAATTTACTGGCTTGCACAGATTTTAAACAGATCGCTCATCATGTAAAACAGCACAGGCTCCCACATCCCAACAACGTTCATCCCCTCCTCCCCGATAATGCTCACCCTTCCATCTACGCTTGACAGTGCTCACTTCCTTCATCATCCCGAAAATACTCACCTCCCGCCAACAACACTCACCCAGACAATACACACCCTCCTGACAATACTCACCCTCGCGACAGTACTCACCCTCCCGACAATACTCACTCTTGCGACAGTACTCACCCTCGCGACAATATTCACACCCCGACAATACTCACCCTCGCGACAATACTCACCCTTGCGACAATACTCACGCTCCCAACAATACTCACTCTCGCGACAGTACTCACCCTCGCAACAATACTCACACGCCGACAATACTCACCCTCGCGACAGTACGCATCCTCGCAACAATACTCACGCTCCCAACAATACTCACTCTCGCGACAGTGCTCACCCTCCCGACAATACTCACACCCCGACAAATACTCACCCTCCC